TGATATTTTTTATTTTTTAGGTTTCATTTATTGTGTATCGACTAAACTCTAATTTAATTGGTTTTTATATTTTTAGATAAGAATGTAGGGACATTTTTAACGTGTATTATTTATGTTATTCGCTAAAAATAACAAAGACTTTCATGAATTTTATAAAATATTCATTTTCTAAAAAACAATTTATATTAAATTTTGAAATTTATACTAGATTTAATATAGATTATTTTTTGACAAAGAGAATAGTTATTTATGTCTTATATTTAAGACCGGAAGGAATAATCTATAATATACGGGAATACTGGAATGATCAAGAGTCGATTGACTTGGTCTTGGTCTGACCGTGGGCATTTCATGCAAGTAATTAAAGTCAACCATAAAACAAAATGCTTGGAGGAGTCCCGTAAATCCGAATTCATATATGCCATCCATTTGCTCTGGGCTCAATAAGCAAAACCTTCTACGCTTCCTCATGATCACTAGTAGCAAATTTATAATGAAACGGCAGAGATATATAAGCTATTAAGGGCTAGAAGGAGTATAATCTTGGGTTTGATTTTATTTGGATTCGATGTTTTTTTGCTGTTACGTTGACAATTGAAGGCCGACGTTAATTACATTTTCTCGTATATTTGATTAAGGATAGACGTTTACATATCAGGTTTACTCCCCCGCTACTTTATGTAAAGACATTTTGATTTGTCATAGGTTTTTACCAGTACACATTTTTAATTGACACAAAAAACTTAATAATATTTTCTAATATTCAATAGAATATCACGAATGTGAAAATATATTTTTAAGATTTTTTTTCCGATTAATAATGTATAATAGGTAAACCTTATGACAAATCAAAATGCCTTATGTAAAAGCTAGTGAGAGTATCATATGTCTTATCCTTTTTGTTTTTCTTTGTTATTAGGTACAAATCTTTTTGTGTTTCATTTTGTGTTTCCTTTTCTAAGTCAAACTAATTACGAAGCTACCACGAATATTCCATCCAAACCCTAAACAGTTGTTTAGTTCACATCAGATACTGATCATTAATGATCATATTGCTAGCACGCAACACAATTACATTTTTTTTTCATCTAACACTTGAATAAATATCTCGATGTCTAAAAAATTAGTATGTTTGTTTTTTTTTTAATGTGTTTTTTTTATTGGGAATATAAAAAGATATATTGGAAATGTAAAAAGGTATATTGGGATGAGACAATTATTAATAAAAAATTCTAAAAAAACTTAGTGACAAAAGAAACAAACAGATTCAACAGATCCCGTCCTGTTTTGATTTTAATATGATAGTCTAAGTCGATTTCACCACGCGACTTAAATAAAGTCGAAACTGAGAATTCATAAATATTGTTTCCATTAAAATTTTACAAAGCGGAAGGTCACTAGCTAGTATCTTTAATCCTTTGTTGCGTACAATTAGAAGGGAGTATTGGTCTTTCTGACTCGAATAAAAAATAATAATAATAATAATAATAATAATAATAATAACAATAATTAAAAAAAAAAGAGAGAAAAGGGAAAAAAAAAAGTCCCTTTATTAATCAATTAAGTCGGCCTGCGGTTTTCGTCCCTTTTTATTTTCTTTCTTTTTTTTTTTTTTTCCTTTTCCTTCTTGGGTAACAAAACGGTGATTTCGAGAATACAATAAAATTACCCCTCAAAACTCATATCTAAATTCGATTTTGCCAGAGTATCTAAGCAATTTGTTGTCAACTATAATTACAACTCGAAACTTGTAGTTCCGTATAAGTATACGTTTTCTACCAGAGTATACAATAATATGCGTTTTCTGTCTAAAATAATAGTCAGATGGAGTTTTGATATATTTGAATTATTTACTTTGGGAGAGATAGATGCAAAATAGTGTGTAAAACTACCTCTCATATCAAACCTCATAAATCGTCGATTAATCAGCATGCGGTAAATCATTAACTACGAAGTGAACCATTTGAAAAACAAAAGTCTCTCTAAAATTGCTCAAATTCATAAACTAAATGAACGATATAAAGATCAAATTGTCTTTTAGCGAGCTTGGACTTCATACCACAAAACACGCAATTTGATCGCTAATGACAGTCCTTCAAGAGGACGTGCTCGAAAAGACAATAATATAATTCTCAAGAGGACGTGTTCGTAAACAGATCTCCATTTTGGAATATTGCACAGTATCTTTGGGAGGTGGGAGTTTAAGTTAAGTTAGTCACAAGCAACATAGCAATAATATACTTCTCTCCTTTTTTTTTTTCCCTTTTGAACAGTTCATTATTATTCTATTAGTTATAAGTTCTTTCAATAAAATTAAGCATCTGGTAACCGGTTCCTGTTTGAACAGAATCATTTAAGTAATATTTTTTCCAAAATAGTAATAACTTTATTATATAGTCAAGTATCACTACTATAATCTTTATAGCAACAATAAACGACGTAATAGGATTGGACACATTTGACTAATTACTTGTTTTCACTTGTAACTTCTATAAAGATGTGGATTGATCGTTTGTCCCATATGAATCTGCAAACGGCTAACGCCAATTTTATTACACCAACTTGACATTTCTCGCTTAAAATTAAAAATAACATAGGTATGACTATTCATATTTATATAAATCACAAATATGATTTGTGAACAACCTTTAATTAGTACGTATCTATCTATTCTATATACTATACTAAGGCAAAAATCAGAGAGAGAAAATTAAAGGCATGGAGCACATGCGATATAAGATTTAATCCTATGTGGCATTTTCTTAATTTCTTAGACTTAAAAATGCACAAAAAAATAATAAAATAAAAAAAAGCAACTAAAATAATTTTTTAAAAAATAAAATAATAAAAATCGAACCCTTACTTTTGTGAACCAAATCCTAACACAGAGATTGATTGGAGAGAGTACCAAATCCTAACAAATTTTAGAGAGATCTGTATAAACCTTATCACCAGTGAATTTAAAATGTCATTCAAAAAAAATAAATTCTTGTAAAGCCAGAGGTAATCATGTTTAAAACTGAAATCATTACATATTTTATAAAAATACAAAATTTATATAAAAATGTCTAAATGTGTACGCCTTCCCCGTCCATCGGACGGGTCTAACACCTAGTTTCTTTAATAACATGTTTTTTTTGTCCCAAAATAATTATTTAATTTAAATGTCCACTTCTAATATAGTTTAAATAAACATAAAAATCTAAACTAGATAATAATTTCAAGACGAAAGTAATATAATTCTTTTCTTTTGTTCAAACCAGGGAAAGCATTCCCCTCATATTGCTCTGGATTAAAAAAATTGTACTTCTTTTACATTTTTGTGCAGTTGTAGTCATATATTATTGCCAAAAGTCAACATTATAAAAATAATTATGACGAGTTAAATAAAAATCTTCAAATTATAATAAATATCAATAAAATGGTTTTTTTTTCTCTTTTCTTTTTAACGGGATCGATAATGATTTTTCACTCACTCTCTACATGACTCGAACCCGTGAATTATTGGATACCGGAGTAATGTTTTTACTAGAGTGCATATATATATATATATATATATGTGATTATCTAATTTCACTTACTTTACCTCATAGTTGATAAATATCTAATATCGGTAACCAACAAACATTTTGTCCAAGTGGTAAAAGTATTCGGCTAGTTTCATTGTTACCTATAATCAAATCCAGACATAGACATGTAATATTAATTAAAATATTTATTGGAAGAGTTTTACCTCCTGAAAAGAACTTACCCAGATTGAATCCCATAAGTTAGAGCAATGATTCAAAAAACGGATGCATAATATACCAAAACAAATGCACTTAGTATCGGTAAATATTATCCTAACAAATTTATATTGAAGTTGAATCATATCCTTTCGGAACAGAAAACTCTCTACAATTTTTTTCAGCTATTTTTTCTTTATTTGTTTTCAAATTTTGTCTTTTGCTGGGAAAAAATTTTGTTTTTCCTTTATTCTAAAATTATTGTCTTATTTGAATTTGTTACTTTTGGTTCAATTTATACTAACAATCGAAATTCAAACTGAACGATCATTTAACAAGGAGGCATCGCTTTTATTTAGCATCCTACAGGCCGAAAATAACAACATCAACTTAGATAAATAAGTGTCTGGTACTTCGAGTTTAACGTATCTGTTTACTTATTCCATGATTTTGATGATTGCTATTCGTGTAATAAATTAACTGATCACCAACACGATAGGAAATGCTCGATGAAACTATACTCAGTAATTTTGTGATCGTGAATTCGTGATAACTTTGCAACATATGCATCACCAAGCAAACTCAATCGCATATGCAAGATGTAAAAATTTGACATAATTTGCTCACACTCTGAAGGAATTGTTGGTGTAAGCATTTTCCGTATATCTAAAAGGGTTTCTTCGGAAATATTACAGCCCCAACGGAAACTTGCCATAGGAAGAAGTTGATTTCATGGTGTCATATATGCATCAATTGAATTATACTTCTAGCTCAAGAAAACAAAATTTACGAACGTATTCGAAACTCAAACATGCATGCAATTATCCTGAACCTGAATCAAATTGAATTTTTACTTTTATTTTTATTCTTTTGCAAGAGATGAATGTTGGAGATATTGCTGATAATTTAAGATAGTCTTCCTAACGGATAAGTTAAGAGTTCAAGTCAGGACAAAAAAAATAAAATAAAATATCAAGTAACAATCATCCTTGCAGGCAATGAATTTTTTTTCCCTTTCTTATAGTCAATGTTATATAGATTCCCTCGAGCTAGTGCTTGTGTGAAATAATAATCAAATTCCAACTTAAAAAAAAAAAAGAAAAAAAAGAAGAAAATAAGAAATGAAAACATAGTGTCATCGTACGAATTAACCTTATTCATTCTCCTTATCCCCTATAAAAACCCTCATCTTATCACAAATTCTTTCATCCAACAAAATAGAAGTATCAAAAAATTTTCTGCTTCTGTCTCTCGGTACTTCACTTAACGGCTAAAATGAGCTCTAACAAGAGCATCAAATTCCTCCCCTCCTCTCTTCTATTGAACTTCGTCTTTTTCACCCTAGTCAACTGTTCACTTACAACTGTTCTTCAAAATCCACCGACATCTTGTCCGAGAAGTAAACTACAATTGACAGCATGTGTTAATCCGCTTGGTGTTCTAGTCCTAACCAACATTCAACAACCAATTTCTCAACAATGTTGTTCTGTTCTTAGTGGCCTTACTTATGTTGAACTCACTGCTTGTCTTGGCCCTCAAGTTTCTATTTCTTTGTTGATTAAGATCATAAATGATTGTGGCCTGAATCCGCCACCTACACAACCCAAAACTCCCCCGCCGCCTCCTCCTACCCCTGGAAGTCCTCCACTACCACCTCCACAACCGGAAACTTCCCCGCCGCCACCTCCTCAACCCAAAACTCCCCCGCCGCCACCACCAAGCCCTGAAACTCCCCCACCACCACCTCCAAAGGCCCAAACTCCGCCACCTCCTACCCCTGAAAGTCTCTCACCGCCACCTCCACAACCGGAAACTCCCCCGCCGCCACCGTCAAGCCCTGAAAATCTCCCACCACCACCTCCACAGCCCGAAATTCCTCCGCCTCCACCAACTCCTGAAAGTCTCCCACCACCACCTCCACCGCCCGAAATTCCTCCACCGCCACCTACCCCTGAAAGTCTCCCACCAGCACCGCCACCACAGCCGGAAAATCCGCCACCTCCAACCCCTGAAAGTATCCCGCCGCCACCTCCACAACCTGAAACTTCCACGCCCCCTCCACCTCAAACTCCCCCACCACCGTCTCCAACTCCTCCGCCGCCTCCTAGCTCTATGCCATCTTGTCCAACGAATGTCACAGAATTTAAAAAATGTGCAAATTTGCTTAATCCAACTCAGACGAGCAACACAACTTCTCCTTCTTCAGATGAAGAATGCTGCCGTCTTTTTGACGGACTTCAGAACTATGATCTGGCACTTTGCGTTTGCAAAGCCAACAAGGCCAACGGCGTTGACACATCACATACTCTTGACATGAGTTCCTTCCTTAAAGCGTGTAACATCACCGCTCCAACCCATCAACTTAATTGTCCTCCTGATGTTTAATTAGTCCATCAAAATGTTTTTTTTTTTTTTTCTTTCTAAAACGTCCTCAATTTGTTTTTTCTGTGTGTTTGAGGGAGATAGACTGTTAATGTGCGGAGAAGGATCAAGCTCATTACCATGGAGCTTAGAATATAACATCTCTTCTGCATTTTAGTCTATTTCATCTCCATTGTGATTGTATGCCTCATCATATATCTCCTTGTGTACCAGTTCGGTATCAATTATATTCAATAAATGAAAGTTCTATCATTTTTTTTTTGTCTCTTCTTTAACGTTTACTATATTTATCATGCATGCATGCTTAATTCATACCTACGTACTTTAGGAGAGTTTTATCTCTCCGAAATGACTTTTACTTGAACAAGTTTTATTAATCATGACAGTGATTTCGAGCACCGAACGAGGTAGTTCTGCTGTTGGGAGGAATTTACCTAACAAATCCGTTACTTCATACAAAAAAAAAAAAGAAGTTATAATTAATTTAGTGAACTGAATATTATATTCCCTCCATCTTAAAAAATAATGAACTGAACGCTTCACTTACAAATTAAATAAGTAGATTATTTTTTTTTATCCGGTTCTGCCTTTTATGATAGAAGAATATGCGGGCCGTTGAGCGAGTTCGCGTAAATCAAGAAATTGGCTTATGCGGGCCGTTGAGCGACAACCGGGTTTCACAGTGGCTTACGCTTTCAGTTTCAACAGATAATATTGTTGGAGATTGATTCAAAGTAGATTTGATCAATTATTTAGTTGTTTAGATTATTCTTGATTTTCTTGTTTTTTAGTTTCAGTTAAGGTGGGATTTGGTTCCTATTTTTTCTCTTCATCGTTATTATGTAAAGCCTATTTAAAGGCAGTTGGTATTTTATTCATCAATAAGAAAGTAACTAATTTTTATCAGACTTTTATCTTTTCTCTTCTTTAACGATGAGTTCCTTTTTTTCTTTCTTTTTCTTCATCTGAAAAAATCCAACATGGTATCAGAGCTTTTTGATCCTGAGAGCCTGTGAAAGAAAAAAAAAAAAAACCATTGCTTCCAACAATTCTTCATTTCCTCAACACCAATTTTCAAAGGTGAAAACTATCAAGCTTGAGCTGTCAAAATGAAGGCTCATTTAAAGGGTCTTGGTAATTGGCAGTGGGTTGCTAATGAGGTGGAATTACCACCTCTAGGTAACAATCCGACACTTTCTCAGATCAAGGCTCACGAAGAAGAAGAAACGAAAGCTCCAAGAGCTTTATCAATAATTTTTTCAGCCGTTTCAGAGTCAGTTTTTACAAGAATCATGACTTCTGAGAAAGCAAAAGAGGCTTGGGATATTTTGCAGCAACAATATCAAGGTGATGAGAAGACGAAGAAAATGAAGGTCTTGAATCTTAAAAGAGATTTTGAATTTTTAAGCATGAAAGAAGAAGAAACACTTTTTTGAAGAAGGTTGGTGAGAAGGGGCATCAACAAATAGGAGAATTGAAGTACTCCAAAATTGTTTGGTTGGTGAGATAGTGCATCAACAAATTTGACGAAAAAGTGCGTCAAAATTCGTATTTTTCATTCGCATCAAAAATTTTTTTTGCTACTTTGAATCATGAGAGAGTGTTGGAGATTGATTCAAAGTAGATTTGGTCAATTATTTAGTTGTTTAGATTATTCCTGATTTTCTTGTTTTTTAGTTTAAGTTAAGGTGGGATTTGATTCCTATTTTTTCTCTTCATGGTTATTATGTAAAGCCTATTTAAAGAGGGATTTGATTCCTATTTTTTCTCTTCATGGTTATTATGTAAAGCTTATTTAAAGACAGTTAGTATTTTATTCATCAATAAAAAAGTAACTAATTTTTATTAGACTTCTATCTTTTCTCTTGTTTAATGATGAGTTCCTTTTTTCTTTCTTTTTCTTCATCTGAAAAAATCCAACAAATATTGTTTCTTCATCGCGTGATTTTCCCTATGAAATTAGAACAATAAGGCAGGATATACAATTGCTTATTGTCTTTAATATTAGTTTGTATTAATATTTTAAAAGTTCATAGAGATATAATATGTGCCTAAGATTTTTAACCGAAAAAAAAGTGCCTAAGATGGTAAAAACAAGCTAACATTGGCCACAGCATTGTAATCTCTCCTGATGTGCGTTTCCCAAAAAAAAAAAAAAACAGTTTTAATCTCAGAAATCCTACCTGAAATCTTTGAAAGCTAAATTAAGGCTCATTTGGGATGCATAGTTTCATACACGGAAGCTGGTGTCTCATTCCGTTTGTCCTAGATGATGAAACACATTTTTTGTTCTATTTTTATGCTTCCCTTTTAGTCTGGTGTAACATAATAATTAGGTGGCATTTGGAGGCATTCACTGGTTAAGTAACAATTCCTCATACCCAAAAAAAAAAAAAAAAGAGTAACAAACCCTCAAACCGTTCTATACTACAAGACTTTAGAACTTATATTTAGGTTACAATCACCCCCATTTTCCACCTCATTTCTAAATCATGGCACATGAGCCGCGCAGGTTGTTTCCGAATCAGAATCTCTTACAACACTATTTTCCCTCGAAGGTCAAAACATCGGAGAAAAGACAGCCGTGAAGGAAGGGGATCTTCATACATATACAACAACTACTAGAGCCATTTCAAAAAAAAAAAAAAACAACAACAACAACAACTACTACTAGAGCATTGTCGATCAAGAGGGAATAATCATAAAGTTGCAAACGTGGGAACGAGGGTAACATTCAGAACTCCCCCGAGAGCAATAGTTGTAACTAAAAGAACAACAGAGATTATGTTTGCACCTTTACCAGGAAACATGCTACAGCTCAAGTTTTTGGGCCTGTGCATCAGCACTCTTCCGACTCCGAAGCCAAGTAAATTTCCTTGAAAACCAATTGTGGACATGCTTTTTCTCTGGTTGTTTCTGCTGTATGTTGCAAAGTGTCTCATAAATATGCTTTAGATGAGGTGCTGCAGTTTCTTGCTGAAAACACGCCAAAGAAAGAATGAATAAAAGAAAGAAAAAAGTAACTCATCGTTAAAGAAAAAATAATATTGGAGGCAGCCTTCGAGTTTCAATGATCAGGATTGGCAGCCAAATTCACTTCGTCGATCGGTTTGTTGCTATGATCAGAAAAAGATTTTTTAACTCTCAATTTGAGTCTGTATCCAGTATGCCCCCTCCTATTTTTTGCACGAGCAGTTCTTATTGTATTTTTCATCAATCTTTTTATGATTTGCAAGTTTAGTCCCTGTGATTTTTTTTCTCTCTCCTTTAAAAAATATCTCTAATCTTTAAATGACCATATCTCATAATCCGTAAAGAATTAGAGAACGTGTTATGCATGAAAATTACAGTACTCGTTGAGATCTATTCAACAAGATCCATATCCAATATTTTTTTCTAACTTAAAAATGATCAAATTTCTTAGGGCAGCATTAAGTTGGATATCCAGTACAAACAAGTTGGATAATCAGAATGAACACAGTGGATAACCAGTTCAAACAATTTGGATAAGCATGTAAATCCGTTGGATAACCAGTACGCACGAGTTGGATAGACATACAAACCAAATGGATGGATATCCAGTACAAACAAGTTGGATAATCAGAATGAATATAACTGATAACCAGTTCAAACAATTTGGATAAGCATGTAAATCCGTTGGATAACCAGTATTAGCGCATAGGACAATGAATAAGTTGAATGGGCATACAAACCAAATGGATGGATATCCAGTACAAACAAGTTGGATATCGAGTACAAAGAAGTTGGATAATCAGAATGAACACAGTGGATAACCAATTCAAACAATTTGGATAAGCATGTAAATCCGTTGGATAACTAGTACGCACGAGTTGGATATGCATACAAACCAAATGAATGGATATCCAGTATAAACAAGTTGGATATCCAGTACAAACAAGTTGGATAATCAGAATGAATACAGTGGATAACCAGTTCAAACAATTTGGATAAGCATGTAAATCCGTTGGATAACCAGTATTAGCGCATAAGACAATGAATAAGTTGGATGGGCATACAAATCAAATGGATGGATAGCCAGTACAAACAAGTTGGATATCCAATACAAACAAGTTGGATAATCAGAATGAACACAGTGGATAACTAGTTCAAACAATTTGGATAAGCATGTAATTCCGTTGGATAACCAGTACGCACGAGTTGGATATCCTGTACAAACAAGTTGGATATCCAGTACAAACAAGTTGGATAATCAGAATGAATACAGTGGATAACCAGTTCAAACAATTTGGATAAGCATGTAAATCCGTTGGATAACCAGTACGCACGAGTTGGATATGCATACAAACCAAATGGATGGATATCCAGTACAAACAAGTTGGATAATCAGAATGAAAACAGTGGATAACCAGTACAAACAATTTGGATAAGCATGTAAATCCATTGGATAACCAGTATTAGCACATAGGACAATGAGTTTTTTCTAAACAAAAATAAATGATTGGATAACCAATACAAACAGTTTGGATAGCCATATAATTCTGTTGGATAACCAGTACATACAAGTTGGATGAACACACAAACCAAGAATGGATTAGCAGTACAAACAAAATGGATAACCAGTTCAAACTGATTGGATAATCAGCATGAACACAATGAATAACCAGTAGTTGGATAATCAGAATGAACACAGTGGATAACCAGTTCAAACAATTTGGATAAGCATGTAAATCCATTGGATAACCAGTACGCACGAGTTGGATATGCATACAAACCAAATGGATGGATATCCAGTACAAACAAGTTGAATATCCAATACAAACAAGTTGGATAATCAGAATGAGCACAGTGGATAACCAATACAAACAATTTGGATAAACATGTAAATCCATTGGATAACCAGTATTAGCGTATTGGATAATCAATATGAACACATTGGATATCCAGTTTAAGAAGATGGATAACCAACTTATTTTGAATTAAGAAGTTGGATAATCAATATGAAGTGGATGGATATCCAGTAC